TCCTTTTTCCTCTCCTCCCCTGGACAATCTGGTGGTTTCACCTTTGGGGGTGGTGCCGAAAAAGGAACCCAATGCATTTCATTTGATACATCATCTGTCTTACCCCAGAGGGGGTTCGGTAAATGATGCGATCGCCCCGGTGTTTGTACGGTGTCCTACACGTCTTTTGATGCAGCTGTATCTTGGGTGCGTCGGTATGGGCGCGGTGCATTGTTGGCTAAAACGGATATAGAGTCTGCCTTTCGGTTGATGCCGGTCCACCCTGATAGTTTTTCATTGCTCGGATGTCTGTGGCAGGGATTCTATTTCGTGGACCGGTGCTTGCCGATGGGTTGTTCTATTTCTTGTGCCTTGTTTGAAACCTTTAGCTCATTCTTGGAATGGGTGGTCCGGGATGTGGCAGGTGTCAATTCAGTCATCCATGATTTAGATGATTTTTTGTGCATAGGCCCTCCTGAGTCTACCATGTGTGGGGTGTTGCTGGCTCCGTTACAGCATGTGGCTTCGCGCTTTGGGGTTCCGTTGGCATCAGACAAGACTGAAGGTCCTACCACCGTGCTTAGTTTTTTAGGCATTGTGATCGATTCACAGGCGATGGAGTGTCGCCTTCCGGAAGATAAATTGGTTGCCCTTCAGACTGAGATTAGGGAGACAATTGGAAAACGTAAGCTTCGCTTGCGGCAGCTGCAATCCATTCTGGGTAAACTGAACTTTGCCTGTAGGATCATGCCAATGGGGAGGGTGTTCTGCCGACAGCTGGCTGCGGCGACGGCGGGAGTCCAGGCGCCTTTACACTTCGTGCGGTTGACAAGGGATCATAGGGCGGACTTACAAGTGTGGCAGTCGTTTTTGGAATCTTTCAACGGGCGGTCGTTGTGGATGGAGGGCCCCTTTAGCAATGCGGATATGGAATTGTTTACCGACGCGACGGGTTCCTCTGGTTATGGGGCGTTTTTTCAGGGTGGTTGGAGTGCAGAATCGTGGCCGATAGAATGGGTTGAGGCGGGGTTGGTCAGGAATTTGGTTCTGTTGGAATTGTTTCCGGTGCTGGTGGCAGTAGAGGTCTGGGGTTCCTTCTTTCGGAACAAGAAGGTCCTTTGTGAGTCCATCCAGGCGGGCTCATGGGGGCCTTTTGTGTCATGATGTGGTCCTGTTGGCTGATGCGGTCCGGGTGCTGATTCGACGTTCTAAGACCGATCAGCTTGGAAAAGGGGCATGGGTGGAGTTACAGCGGGTGCGTGGTTCCCAAGTATGTCCGGTACAAGCGGTTCAGGAATTTTTGGGGGTTCGCCCGTCATTGGAGGGATCATTTTTGTTACACGCCGACGGGTCGGCTTTGTCCCGATTTCAATTTATTTCTGTTTTTAGAACCTGTCTTGCTGGGGTGGGGGTCGATGCCGAGCATTTCTCTTCCCACTCTTTCCGCATCGGGGCTGCTACGGAAGCGGCGAGGTGGGGTTTGGGTGAGGCTGCCCTCCGCCGTATAGGGAGGTGGGAGTCCAACCGGTATCGTTTGCATGTCCGCCCTCACTTGGTTTAGCCTGATGTGTTTGTTTGGGTGTTTATTTTTCCTTCTGCTTCTTTGCTGCATTACGTTGTTATTGTTCCTGACAGGTGGTAGTCTGTGTCTTTTCCTTTTGTTGCACTCCGTTTGTTCTTGTTCCTTGCCGTTTCCAGAAGCGCAGCGGACGTGCGCTGGATTGGTGTGCCGGGGATGCTCTGGAGCAGGGTAGTCCCGGAGGTACATCGGTTTGTGCGGTTGGATAGGGCTCCGGACGTCTTGATCCTACTTGTCGGCGGGAACGATCTGGGCCTTCGTTCCATGAGAGAGCTCATCCGCGATGTAAAATTTGATTTTCTAAGGCTTCGTTCAGCGTTCCCTGGAACCTTAATAGTGTGGTCGGAGATTGTGGCCCGCACTTCCTGGCGTTTGGCTAGGTCGGTGGAACGGCTGAACAAAGCACGGATTAAGGTTAACAAGGAGGTGGGCCGCTTTTTTGTCCGTAATGGGGGTCTTGTAATCCGTCATCGAGAGTTGGAGCAGGATACCGCGCAATATTTGCGCGGGGATGGTGTTCATTTGAACGCTGTGGGCACCGACATGTGGTGCCTGGGCCTTCAGGATGGCATTCAGCGAGCGCTGCGGGTGTGGCGGGGCACCCAAGTGTAAGGTGTCACACTTGGGCGGAGTCAGCAGGCATGCTGACCTGTACAGTATGAGGTGGAAAAGGTCTCTGCAACAATCCGGTCGTTGTCCCTGAGTCGGTGTCTTGCGGCTAGGGGCCTTTTGGTTATGCAGAGATGGTGACATTAGGGTAACGGGGTAAATTTTGCTTTTTAGAGCGGCGTTTACGTTAGCATTTTTGGGGGCCTTTCGGATTGGGGAATTTGTGAGTCCATCCAGGCGGGCTCATGGGGGCCTTTTGTGTCATGATGTGGTCCTGTTGGCTGATGCGGTCCGGGTGCTGATTCGACGTTCTAAGACCGATCAGCTTGGAAAAGGGGCATGGGTGGAGTTACAGCGGGTGCGTGGTTCCCAAGTATGTCCGGTACAAGCGGTTCAGGAATTTTTGGGGGTTCGCCCGTCATTGGAGGGATCCTTTTTGTTACACGCCGACGGGTCGGCTTTGTCCCGATTTCAATTTATTTCTGTTTTTAGAACCTGTCTTGCTGGGGTGGGGGTCGATGCCGAGCATTTCTCTTCCCACTCTTTCCGCATCGGGGCTGCTACGGAAGCGGCGAGGTGGGGTTTGGGTGAGGCTGCCCTCCGCCGTATAGGGAGGTGGGAGTCCAACCGGTATCGTTTGCATGTCCGCCCTCACTTGGTTTAGCCTGATGTGTTTGTTTGGGTGTTTATTTTTCCTTCTGCTTCTTTGCTGCATTACGTTGTTATTGTTCCTGACAGGTGGTAGTCTGTGTCTTTTCCTTTTGTTGCACTCCGTTTGTTCTTGTTCCTTGCCGTTTCCAGAAGCGCAGCGGACGTGCGCTGGATTGGTGTGCCGGGGATGCTCTGGAGCAGGGTAGTCCCGGAGGTACATCGGTTTGTGCGGTTGGATAGGGCTCCGGACGTCTTGATCCTACTTGTCGGCGGGAACGATCTGGGCCTTCGTTCCATGAGAGAGCTCATCCGCGATGTAAAATTTGATTTTCTAAGGCTTCGTTCAGCGTTCCCTGGAACCTTAATAGTGTGGTCGGAGATTGTGGCCCGCACTTCCTGGCGTTTGGCTAGGTCGGTGGAACGGCTGAACAAAGCTCGGATAAAGGTTAACAGGGAGGTGGGCCGCTTTTTTGTCCGTAATGGGGGTCTTGTCATCCGTCATCGAGTGTTGGAGCAGGATACCGCGCAATATTTGCGCGGGGATGGTGTTCATTTGAACGTTGTGGGCACAGACATGTGGTGCCTGGGCCTTCAGGATGGCATTCAGTGAGCTCTGCGGGTGTGGCGGGGCACCCAAGTGTAAGGTGTCACACTTGGGCGGAGTCAGCAGGCATGCTGACCTGTACAGTATGAGGTGGAAAAGGTCTCTGCAACAATCCGGTCGTTGTCCCTGAGTCGGTGTCTTGCGGCTAGGGGCCTTTTGGTTATGCAGAGATGGTGACATTAGGGTAACGGGGCCTTCTCGGACCTCCAGACATATGTGTGTGTCCATGCATTTATATATATATATATATATTCGTTTAGAGGTGTGGCCGTGTGTGCATGGACACACACATAATTTAGTTAAATTGTTGATTACATTAATCTAATGTTTAGGTATATATATATTGGTTTTACGTTATGATGTTTTATAATAAAGGGCTGCTGCAGCCAGTTATACCAAAAAAATGGTGTGATCTGTTATTTGGGGTTGGAGTTAGTTGGGGGAGGTGGCGTAGCAGGGTTTTGGTGCAGAAAGGAACCTATGGCGTGCCCTAGTCATGCTTACATCCAACTCCCCAATCACCTTACATGGGTCCGTACAGCTCAGTTTTTATCTATATCACAAGATGGAGGGGGATGTCATAAGACTGAGATCTGTTCCATACTACTCTGATCAGTGTACGGATCCCCTGCTGATTGGAACGTATGGTGCCTATGTGAAAGGGACCTTATTATTAAGCTTCTTGGGTTCACCTGCTATTTATATATATTTATAAAATGTATGTACCTGGTGGTAAGCAAGGCTGGTGGCTGTGTAAACATATTAAAGGATGTCAGATAGATGTGGAATAAAAGATATCTATGGTCAAAAACAAAAGTAAATATGTATTTCTATATTGAATTTCCATAAGTTCTATCACACTCCTAATAACTATATTGATCTAGAAGTTTGTAAACTTACTTATTAAAGATGCCCATAGGATGTACTTCGTCAATGCACTGACACAATTTCAACCAGCCCTGTGAATATGACCTAACTTGTGTCACAACTCTCACAGAGCCTACCTTCTGAAATACAAATCAACAACTGAACAAGGTAATATTATCATTGCTTGCTGAAAGCAATGCATGATGGGATATTTAATCTTAAGAAATCGAAATTGCATCGCAGCAAGAAAAGAGATGCAAAGCTGATGAAAGTGATGGGCAGATGGAAGGTAGCACTCACTACATAAAAGGGATTTTTTCAACTAAGCTTAGATTGCATTATAAAAAACAACTCTAGTATGTATTCCTATCACAATGCTGATGTCATAACGGGATAGTGTATGCCGGGACTTTACAACTCCTGTAAGTGCGTCATTCCAGTCAGCACTATTCAAAAGAATGAAACCGCATTTTAATTTCAAACTGTTATTTCTGTCTCTGTGTAACGGCTCTGTAGTGAGTTATCTCACAGGCTGCTTATCATTCCTGAACACTAGTTTGCTGATGGCTTTTTCTCTAGCCCTGACCAGCAGCTCTTATCTCTTCCTGACAACAGGACATGACACGTCAGCGGTGTCACCCATCTCCAACAAGTGCCAGGTTTTCTGTATTTACCCAAGCTGGCCTTCGTCTAACCCATCCCGTGATCTTTTGAAAATATGAAGAAAAATAGCCATGGGTCTATGTGGATTCTTTTAATATCCAAAGGTAAATTGATTGCTTGCTGTTGTGCTCCTAGGTCCTTATTTTTCTACTACATGTGAATGTATTAATGTGGTGAAGGGGAGGGGGGGCAGAAGATGTTTCACCTTCATTACATCAAAATAGTCGGCGCTCATAAATCATATGTATAGGCAGCGTGTAATGCAAGCCAAAGCTGGAAGCGGTTTTGGGTGAGGATTTTGCCTTTTCTTTTGCACTCCTTTGTCTTATGTACTTTCCAGATACAAAAGTAACCCATGTGAGACCCTCATGCAGACCTATAGAGCCCATCCCTCATACCCCAAAAGCTTGTGACTCTCTTCTGTGCCCATACCTTAAAGTGCACCTGTGCTTTGCCCTTATAGAACAAAGCAATGGCTTTGCTTAAATAGACCCTTTCACAACCTACAGAATTGAAGGTAAAAGCACAGAAAAATCAAGTATTTGAAATGTTTAGTTGCAGGGTTTTTCTTTCCATAAATGATTTTGATTCACTTGCAATGTGCCTTTATACTAAAAATTGGGACTACCCAAGAAGAGTCAATTCCGTAACACAATGCCCTCCCTCCTTGCATGTCATAGCCCTCTTCTGGAAGTGACTAATTACTCTTTATGCTGGCCCAGCTCCTCCACTGCTCCCTTCACCTCCCTACATAACCTTCTCTGTAGCTTCTACGGGAGTAGCGAAAGGGAATATTATGGAGTGTCACTTATGTAACAGTTCTGAGTCTGCTGGAAAGTGCTGACATCACTTTCAAGATGACAGCACCAGCAGCTGCCTCAAGGCTTTTGGATGTCTACATAGTTGAGTCTTTCACGTCTAAATAACATGCATAAAATACCCTGCCTGGCCAAAAAAAGTGACACTCTAATATTTCGTTGGACCGCCTTTAGCTTTGATTATGGCATTCATTCACCGTGGCATCATTTCAATAAGCTTTTGCAACCGCACAACTTTTATTTCAGTCCAGAGTTGCATTCATTTTTCACCAAGATCTTGTAGTGATGATGGGAGAGTCGGACCACTGTGTAAAGTCTTCTCTAGTACATCCCAAAGATTCTCAATGGGGTTAAGATCTGGACTCTGTGGTGGCTAATCCATGTGTGAAAATGGCATCTAATGCTCCCTGAACCATTCTTTCACAATTTGAGCTTGATGAATCCTGGCATTGTCATCTTGGAATATTCCTATACCATCAGAGAAGAGAAAATCCATTGATGGATGCTGGTCATTCGGTATATTCAGGTTGGCAGCTGACCTAATTTTTTGGCGACATAACTTTGCTGAACTTAGGCTAATTATCCACTCGAAGGCTCTTACCTATTTGTTTAGCTAAATCCAGGTGGTGACTTTTTTGGGCCAGGCAGTGTATGTTAAATACACATATAATCTTTTGGAAGATTTTGTTGAAATGAATGATCTAGCAACAGGGTCTCTTTTTCTTATCAGCACATTATTACCTTCCCTTCTCTGTTCAGCTGGCAGGAGCAAAGATAGGAAGCCATGTGTAAGCTCTAAATCATGTCTTGGAGCTAACACAGAACTGATGTTTCCCTTCCCACCCCCAATGGTCCTGCATTACACGTGAGGCTGTTGATGACTTCCCAGCATTGCAGTGCTGCAGAGTGGGGAAGAGCACTGGCTGGTGGAGGAAGAGGAATAAGGGAAAAATCACTACTTATTCCTCTACCATGAGACAAAAAACGCATCCAACCCTTGCTTTTTGAAGGTGGATCCACTGTAAGGGTAATTTTTATTTTCTCTGGAGCTACACCTGAACCTGTTAGGCAAACACCATTTAATCCAGTGGTATCTTAAAAACTTGATTTAGGCACTTTTTTTGCAGTTTTAGATATAGTGGAATAAGTAAGAACTTCTGGCAGATTTTTATAGCTCTGTAGTTCAATCTGTCTCAATGACAGCACCAGTGACATGTGCAGTGCTATATGCAGTGCAGGCATTTAGTTACTGTAAGCCCTACAGTAGAGCTATGTATTTGAAAGACTGACTTTTCCCTTAAGACTCATCCACATAATACCAGAATTGTAAGTACATAATCATCAAAGGAATTACACTTTAAAAACTAGGTATTTATTTAATAAAACAAATGCACAAAAGTTGTACTGTATGTGGGCAATGGCCCAGTGTGGCCATTTTTTTTACTTTGATTCAAGAATGGGTGTTGAGAGTAAAGTCATTTATAGCACCTACAACATTAAATTCCAAATTCCCTGTGACATACCACGGTTTCAAATGACCACATGGGTTCTTTTGGTGGATAATGGACACTGACATTCACTGAATAGCCCGCTTTGCCTAAATACTCTGCAGAACTCACCCCCCAAATCCTTCACATTGGCAAAGGTTACATGACCATTGCTATGGTAGGAGATCACATGACCTGGACCTCCTTGTTTTCTTGAAAACATACATTCATAGCACCTTTTCTTAACTTCTATTTAAATTAGTCATGATAAATGATAAAATACCAGCTTTTTACCTTTGGGTCGGCTTTGTTAATAACATGCCATATAGCAATAGCTCTCATTTTTCAAACTAGTGTTTCTTGATTCAGACACTGGTCCCACACGAGGGAAAGTGACACTAAACTCAGGAATTAAATTTTAAAAGTGCATTTAACCTAACTAGTAACAAGACAGTATCTGATCTCATTTGGTTGTTGATCCTCAAATCATCTCTGAATTGGTGCTGACAATGTCCTTCCTTATGGAGGGTGGCTACTTTTGTTCCCCATGGTCCCTGTGTAAGTTGTAAAGTAGTTAGCGTTTCAAGTTTGCTCCCATGATGGACTGCAATCTCCATACAAACTAGCTAAATACACATGAAATTGTAGTCCATCACAGGAGTGAGCTTGGATTGGTGTCTACTTTGCAACACACACAGGGACCAGTGGCAGACCTAATAACCAAAGGGCCCTGGTGCAAGATTTTATCTTGGGCCCCCCTCCCAAGATGGGGGGGGGGGGCACGGGAGCGGATCACACTGGCCCAAGTCTCTAATGTTGCAGTAGCATGCTGGACTTACCTGAGACCCTGCAGAGCACACCATAGATCCTGCATAGCCCAACTGAGACTGTCTATGGTGGGCTCTGCAGGGCCCCAGGTGGGCTGGCCTGGCCGTCGGGATCCCTTTCCCTGTACCTCCTCCCAACTCTTCTTACCTGCAGCTGCTGGGGCCCGGCCTCCTCCACCCCCTCCCCTGTCACCTCTGCCACGCCGCCCCGGTACAGTTGATACCCATGTAAGAGGCACCCCAGATCCCTCACATAGGTACCGGCCATACACCCCTGATGGGAGTGTTCTATCAAAGGTTGTGACTACGTTAGAATGTGTGACCGGTGACATGGTCACACGCTTTAACGTAATCCCGTCCAGTTTTTCGGCGGTGGAATGTGTGACTGCCAATAGGTGAAGCATTCCATCGCTTTCCCAGCTGTTCCAGGGCAGATCGGCATCGCAAATCACATGTGCAGGAGAACCGATCTGCCCTAGAACAGCTGATCTGTCCTGAAATGTCACTTTTCTCCGACTGCGATCTCACATTCCACCGCACTCACAAAGTTAAACACTTTTGTTTATTCTGTGCCAGCTGTCAGATTCTTTACATTGGGGATGGAAGTCTCCTCAAAGAAGCAGAATCTGTTACAGAATAATACAGATCTCTCAGCTTCTTTCTTTATCTACATTTTGTAACAATATTGTGTTACTTTGTTTTCATTTGAGATACAAGTGCATTAAAGCCAGAGAGCGGTAAATGACAGCTCTCCCGCTTGTTGGGTTTACTTTGCGAATGAAATTCAGATGTTTCCAAATTTCGTTATCAAACATTTGGATTCGTTCAGATTCCTTATTTCTGTCATTCGGAACTTCAGATGCATCTGAATGTCTGAATTTACAGAAATCCGTATGAATTTAAATGCGGAACAAAATGAATTGCACATATCTCATGGATACACCGTAAAAGTAGAAATGTGTTTAAAGGAAGGGTTTCCTAAACTCATAATTCTCTGTAAAAATGTGCAATAAAAGATAAATGTAAGGAGAATAATAAGATCTCTTAAGGATGTTAGAGGTCCATGAAATCATAGACTGAGTGATTTTTATATCATTGTCTACTGTTGGGGTGACATTATTCAAAAAATTTAGAAGAGCAGTGCAAAGTGCAGCACCCCATGAAAACCAATTGGAAATAACCTCTCGAGTTGGCTGTAAAATCTGGTTGCTATTGGTTACAGCACTTTGCACGTTTCCTTTACTTTATTAGTGATGCTTGAAAGTGTTCTGCTTTTCTACTCAGAGCCACCCTGAGCATAGCAACCATATCCCGTTCCTTAGCAACTGAACAGAGCTGAAGAGAGGGACCAGCTCGATAACAATGACAAGTTTTCAGCTATGTAAACAATTGTTTTATTTGTCAGTCTTGACCTGTTTTTAAGGACCTGTTGCTATATACTCGTTGCTCTCCTCTGCTACACAGCCGTGTCCTCTTTTGTTATGTGTGCGTAAAGCTCTAGGCAGATATAAAAGACACAAATGAATTACGGTTCTGTATTCATAATACATTATTAAATGGATTTTTTTTTTTTTTTAATACAAGCAGTGTAAGAACTTGAATTTGATCTTGTATCTACCTCTCTTAGTCCCTGTATAGCACAGTGTGAGAAGCAGGAGCAGAACAAGCAATTAATGTGCTGACAAGAAGCATGCATAGTGACAGAGAGATGAGCTCATCACTATGCTGCTTCTCCTTTCACTGTCCAGTCACAGGTTGGGGTGGGTCCAGGATGACCTGGGTTTAGAGGAAGTTGGTAGAATGATGCTGGCCATCAGACTGAGGACATTTATTGGCAGTAACAAAATGAGCCACAGTGAAATCTCTGGATTGAGGCTTAATATTGCAGCAAAAGCTAGTTTTGTTATTTAATCCATAAACGGGCTATTCATTTTTATCTTCATATGTTTGGCTAGAGTTCTGCTTTAAGGTTCCTACATGAATGTAATGGTTAGAATGAATTATGTGTAGCGAACTAGCATACAAACCATGAAGACCTTTATTAGAAATTAATCTTTTATTGCTTTGTATCTTTTGGACTCAATTTGCAATATTGCTAGTCATTTGTTTTTCTTTCTGTATTCATTAGCTAAAAGTGCCAGCAGTGTCAAGAAATCCAAGCTCTCCTCTAAATATGTTATATCATATTTACCTTATCAAATGTTCTTCTTTTAATTTCATGCCCAATAAACTTAACTGCCATCTTTACCTCTAACAATTTTATCGACTTTGGAAAAGAGCCACATGCAAGCAAAATTGTGACAATTAAAATGCCTCTTCAATAGGTTTCTGGAAGAGATTCTGGAAGTGAAGCACAATGAGTCGTCACAGTAATTAATATCCAAACATAGTTAAGTCAAAGAAGGTTAAATGTGAGGGAATTTGAAAGGAAGTTACTCTTCAGCTTTATCTGACTCATTATTTATGAGATCACTCATTTTTAACTTCTAGTGTCAGATCATGATGTTCTTATTTGTCCTCACCAATGAGAAGAAGCATTTACAATTAACATTTAAAGTGTATTTCCACTTGTGCAGCCACATTAAGGAAAGCCCCTCCATATGTTCATTATGGGGTTTATTCACTAAGCTGCTGAAGGATCTAGCCGTAGCTTCGGCTGATCCTTCGGCTAACTTCAGCCCCAGGACCCCTTCAGTTCAGTAGAACTTAAGGGCTGCTGTACGGGCTATTCACTATAGCCTGTACAGCTCCCGAAGTCAGTCGAGCCGAAGGCATATGCTTCGGCTCGACTGAGCCGAAGTGAAAGCCGAAGCTGGCCGAACGGCTGGCCATTGGCCGGCCAACAGCCTTCTACTTACTGCTGGGCGGAGTCATCTCACGGCTGGCTCTGGCCACTTGCACAGACAGATCAGCGTCCCTGGTTACCAAGTAACCAGGGACACTGATCTCCAGACAGCCCAACTCTCGCGGGCGCTCCGGGAGTCTCCCGCTATTAGATAGCCCCGGATTCTCCCAGAAAGGTTTACTCTGCCTGCCCATTACCCATTCGGTCACCTCCCATCTATGCCATCAAGCCGCATCCAATTGTGGGCTTTGTGTCCCTTTCTAACCTAAGTGGGGATGAGACTGGAGTTATGTCCTGATGAAGGGGGCGTGCCCCGGGAACGCGTCGACGTCACTTCTATATACCGATCTGCACATAGGACGTATCGGACAGACTGCTACTGTTACTTTTTCAGTCCGGTCTCTGCACTGTTCTAAATGCTCGTGGATCATCCACCTTTGTGAGTACCTGTCTACTTATACATTTTTATCTAATTGTTGAATGAAACTGATCTGCACTAGGAAAAGGCGCCCCTCTCTTGTCTTGTTTTACAGTGTCCTCAGTCTCCCTGACTGCATTGGGGCTGCTACCTGCATAGATGCCTAAACATTAGCTCTGCATAAGAGACTGTGTATGATCACCTCTGGCGCTTCCTGATATATCATTTCTATTTGGGGCATTTTAAAACGTCCTTCCCCGCCCCAACTCGTGCACGGCGCTCAGTGCGCGCATGAGTGGGAAGACAACTAAAAATGTAAACAGCCGGCAATGGCTGTTTAACCCCTTCACAACTAACGACGTACAGTGTAGGTCGCTAGTATCGGGGCTGTTTAAACAGACAGTTGATAAAAGGGACTCACAAAGTAGATAAAAGTTACTTACAAAAGTGAAGATATATATCTTCTGTACAATTCACAAACCTATATCACAGTAAGGCTAGATACATAGAAGAACCGCCGGTGACTGGACATCAACTTCAGACAGTGAAGCAAGTATGGTTTAAAGCATTTTCGGGGGTTATGCCTCCTAAATCAGGCCTTTCTTCAGTTTTCAGCGCTGTGATAGTTTGACTGATTATTACTTGGTCATGCAACACTGAACCCAAATTAATTTTATACCTTTTTTTGGGACAGATAGAGCTTTCCTGAGATAGTATTTATTAACCCCTGTTTTTTATTCTTACTATAAGGAAAAGACCAAAATTCAGGTTTGCTTACAGTTACCTTTTATTTGTGTACCTTTGAACATACAATAACACACGCATTGGTTGTTAGTGGCACTTTGATCCCCCCCACCACTGTTAAAAAAATATATAACAATTTCACAACCATTGTAGGTTAGTGGCACCTTAACCAACCCCACTTTAACAAAAAAAAATCCCACAATCATTGGTGGTCAATGGCACTTTAACCCCCCCTCCCCCACACACACACACCTTCAACTTCAATGTGTTAATATTGAAGGCGACAAACATTCAGCCCATTCACATTGGAGCAGGGAGAGCCCCCGTTGTGGATGGGCTGAATGTTTGTAAACACTAGCAGTGTTTCCACATGTGATTGGTTTGATTGGGACACAGAGATCACAGGGTACAAAGCCACTCTGATTGACCTTGTACTTCGTGTCTGTGGTCTGGGATGTCCAATGGCAGCTCAGATAACAGCTATTCATCAGCTGCTTTTTACAATATGGCGGTATTGAGGTGGTTAAGTATCAATGCGCTAAAATACAGCCGGAAGGATTGTTGACAAATTATGAAAAATTCTAATAGCTAAGAGTATATCTAAAGCTACAACATATTTTTCATTTGGATAGAGTAAGGAACTGTTAAAATCCCTGTCAGGTTTGGGGTTGGGTTTTTTTTTTGCAACCTGAACAAATAGTGAAGGTGACTCTACCTAGCAGGGACACAGACAGAAATTAAAAAAACTAACTCTGATCAAAAAATTAAAAATGTGGTTTTCAATACAATGTAATATTTTTTCTTCACTATTTTTTGCTGCAAAGCGGAAGGTATTGCAGGAAACCAACAAAGTGTGAATTAACCCCTAATCATTGCAGGGCTTCCCCTTAACCAAAAGCTAAATCTCGCTCTTTACAGTTTAAAGTACTTCTGACTGTGCGGCGGAGTCGTATCAGGGCACTTGATGCCTATTTATGGTGGTAATAGCTATAAACATTTCAGCTGAATAAGTGTAATTATGTAATTCCCACATTCCTGCTATGGGTGTCAAAGTAGCAAGGTAAGCTAATTGATTTAATGTTATGTTGCATATAAAAAAGTCATCCCACTCAGAAGTCAAACTACTTTACAGCTAAATGTAGTAATAGCTAAATGAAGGGTTTATAGTCCTTTTTTTCTCTAAACACTTTACATGATTTTATGAAAATTATAACAAGTTTATTTTGCTAACATAAAACTGATATTGACACAGTCCATTGGGTATAAGGCAAACTTATTGATAGCAATGCAAGTATATATGGTGCAAAATATGAAGGCAAAATATAGCGTTATATTACAATGATTTATAATTTACCTATATACAGTTATTCTGTTGCTCTTGCAATATGCTTCATATATTCTAAACATAATTTTGAATCTCTTATTTCAGGATGTTGGTTTGTCCAAAATTAATACTGCTGGGGCTCTGGTTCCTGACAGCTACTTATGGAGGTGACTGCCCAGTAAAATGTAAATGTAGCAATCTGGACAAAGGTGCACTAAAAGTGGACTGCAGTTTTGGAAACTTGGATAGTCTTCAATCCTTCCCGGAGGAAACAGAAGAATTGCTATTGCAGGAGAACAAACTCACAACAATCCCCGCTGGGGCCTTTGACAACTTAGTGAATGTAAAAAAGTTCAATTTAACCTCCAACCCACTGCATTGTGACTGCAATATCTGGTATTTAATTATGTGGCTTTCTGATGGAGACATGGAAGTAGACAGCGGAATGAAATGCGTCTCCCCTACATCAATGTACGGGAAGCCACTGAGCCAGTTAGTAGGAAACCAAATCGCCTCTTGCTCGAGGCATAAAAGACTATGCTCAGACTTTCTATTTAATGATGCTTTTCTTTATATTTTATTATTCCTTTTGTTGTTCCTAATGATCCTGTGCTTGAAAACTTTTAAAAAGATAAAATTCAAAATTAAAATAAGCGACAGTACCACTGATTCTAGGTTGCATCGCTATTCAAGAGTCAATTTCCTGAAAAGAAGAAGATCGTATTCCTATTGGAAGCACCATTTTTAAAATGTGTTTGCTTTGAAATATTGTTAATGGCAATACAATAAGAAAGACAATGGTGGACAGTTTTATCATGTCACCCTTCATCCACCTACATCCGGCTGGATATACTTTGCCCGGTCAAGGATTTAAACTCTTCTTAAGGTAATCCAAGGATTTTGTACATCAAAAATTATACTCCAACAGGATGTTCTGAATTTGTCTGGTGCACTGTTCTTCTTGGATCTGCTTGGAATACCTCGAAAGGAGAGGCGGCTGTTCAATCCATGTTTACGGGCGGCTGGAAAGAGTAGATAATTGCACACAGCTAGTGCAGCATTCAGATAATAAAAAAATGGACAAACGTAGATAATACTAACACAAGGAGCTTGCAAAAAAACACTTTTTTAAAATAAAATACGAGTAAATATTAAATATATTTGCCTGGTGAGTTTTGTAGGTTTGGGCTCTGCGATTGCTGGCACAGGAATATGAAGGGCCCTGATAACTTGAATATTTGTAAGATTTTTTGGTCTAGTTTATGTTTGAAGATGTATCTATTGTATAACTTCGGATGATCTCTCATGCTACTGCAAATGTGACATGACTGTTTCGTTGTAACTTTATACTGTCTTGGAAAATACATTTTTTGAAAGTAAAAAAAATAATACAAAAGAAGAAGCAATCATGTTCTACTTTCACTTTTCAAAAAATGATCATGTAAGGGAGATTGTTTTTTTTTACTCTGTGCAAAATGAAAGTTAGGTTCTGTCTTGTCAGGCATGTTGCCTCTGTGCTGCTGTCACCTATCATCTACATTTTTTTTTTAAACATAGATCTTTATTCAGGGTTTCACAAAATACAAGTAATGGTAACAGTCTTGCGATAATCAAGCAGTGTATTACAGTAGAAGTCACTACTCATAATAAAATTACCTGTGTTACAAAGATTAGAAAGTAAGGCACACAGTTATCATCTCCATTCTTATCTCTGGAGCTTCAAGGGGCAGTTCTGTAATGTGCAAAGATGTTTGACTCAGGAACAAGTTAAAGTGACACTAAACTGAGGCGTTAACTCTTCAAAATGCATTCAAGTACCATAACTATTAACGAAAATGTATCTTCTTTGTGTATCACTCAGCTGTAGATCCTCAAATCATCTCTGAATTGGTGCTGGTACTGTCCTTCCTTCTGGAGGGTGGCTACTGTTTGTCCCCCATGGTCCCTGTGTTTGTAGTAAAGTAGCCACTGCTCCATGTTCGCTCCCGTGACGGACTATAACTTCAATTAAAAAATTATACCTGTTAATGTGTCAGAAAATGCCTATGTGGGCTGACAACACACAGGCTTTTTGTAGACTGAGTGATATCAGCCCGGCCCAATTTCCTTTTACTAAATTTATATTGTAAAGTATTCACCGCTCCAAGCTGGCTCCCTTGATGGACTACAACCTAAATAGAAATGCGTAAACTAAATGTGTAATTGTAGTCCATCACGGGAGTGAGCTTGGAGTAGTGGCTACTTTACAAAACACGCAGGGACCAGTGGGAACAAAAAAGCCACCATCCAGAAGAAAGGATATTGGTGTCAGCATGAATTCAGAGATGTTTTGGGGATCTACAGCCAAGTAATACACAAATAAGCTACATTTTTGTCAATAGTTAAAGAGGAAATTTGCCCATATCTTCAAAATAACAACAATGGCACCTTTAGAAATGTTTAGTAATGACAATCTACAAACAGATACTTCTAGATAATTGCAGGCTTAGTATTCTTTGCATACCTTATTTTTCTTTTCATCCCAGTCTTCTCATAGTGGCCATTTTAACTATGGGCAGGTTATTAGATCTCCCTTTACTTCCTAGAACTCTGGTACATGTTACCTGAGGCCGGTGTATCTTCCACTTCCCGCTGCCTTCATATGTGCAGTAGAACCACATGGACATATATCGGGGCTGGATAACAGATCTGTCTATGGTCTTCTACTGTGCATGTGTACAAGTGGGACCCGACCCGACATTTAGTTGGTGCCACAGATTTCCTCTAACCTCCAGTCATCCCTGTACATACCAACAATCATCTCCTGGCACAGGAAGTCTCCTATTACTAATAACATATTTTTGACTCTTTTTAGCAAATTTTGTGAGAGCCTCAAATAAATTATTAGTGACAGGAGATTTTCAGTGCTGGTAGATGATTGCTAGTATGTGCTGGGACCACTGGAGGCTAGAGGAGACAAGCAGCACTGTCACAAAATGCCAGGTCCACTTTGAGAGTAGTGTAGAGTTTTTTTGGAATAACCAAAAATGGTGCCAAATCCTGGAACATGCAAAGTAAATATTATGATGTCCCTACTACACATGTGCAGAAGCATCAACATTTAAATGTAGACCAATGCCATCCACAACAGCTATGTGGGAAGTACATCCAGAATGGTCCCTGAGGAAGGTAAATCTTTGCTGCAAAGGGAAATGGTCTACTAATTTTTGACCCCATCAGCTCACAGCATCTCCTTCCTCCCAGCACCACTCCCCTTCCCCCAGCTTCTACTCTGACCTGGCAGCTCACACCACAACCCTTCCAGCCAATCTCTGCTGCTGACGGGGAAGGCTGCATCTGAAGTTACAGCTGACATCTCCTCATAGAGGTACCACTCACTACCATGGCACAACCTACCCCCTTCTGTTATTACTGTGCCTGCCCCCTTCTCACCGCCATGTTTAAAATCTCACCACCACTTCACCTCAACCAACTGACACTCTCAACACTGCAGCTGACCCCCATCCTCCTTCCCCACACACCACACCTACACAACAACCCCTGCTCTCACCACTGCGCCTGATCCCCATCCTTGTTGAAGCACATGAGGAATTGTGGGGTACATTGGTACTGCGTGCAAAGGAGATATCATTATGATCCCCATCTTCTCCCAGTGTCCTCCCGCATGTCTCCATTCCACTCACTACTGCACCAACACCTGCCTCTGTGCTTGCTACCACTGCACCGATGCATGCCTCAGTGCTCGATTGCAGTGAGGCACTTTTCTGTATTCATCCAAAACACCCAAGCACAGTTTTGCTAGTATATATAATATATAATACAGGCTCAACCTGTGCAGCCGTGTCATCCAATCACAAATCTATTCACAGGATCTGTGAATGGAAAGACTATAAGTCCCATCTGTCATCACAGAACAGGGCTGTGTAGAGCTCAGGGGAGCACAAGTTACTTCCTCCAGCCCCATAACCAAAGGTACCTTGGTACGGACCTGGGGCTGTGGGAACAATCTGCAGGAGCCTGAACATTGAACCTGTGATCCACTGATCATGATTAAAATGATTTGCAATCTCCAATTAAAAAATAAATAAATGCACATTTCTTCTTCCATCTTTATGTGTGCAATTATTTTATTTTTTTCTAAAGGTGGACTATGCCTTCAATGTAAAGAAGTCTGTCTTCCTACCACTTGATTTATCCGCATTTCCAGATAATAACACTGGTTTCCCATTGATGTAAATGAAAGTATAACTATTCCATATTCTCTCTGTTATTCAGAATTCTGTAAACCTTCCCTGCTGGAGCAAGGCTAATTTATTGTAGCTGGATTCCATCTGCCTAGCAAATATTGTGCCATCTCTCCACACTGTTCCTGTCCAGTAAGTGTTCACCATCTGTTTGGAGGTGGCATTTAAGTTATAAATCCATCTTCCTCTCTGTAAATGTCTGTGCAATTCAAATAAACAATTGCTGGCACCATTTTGGTGTTTGCAAATCACAGTTTTTCACCAATAATCATTTTTGATTAAATGAATATGAGCAAATACTTACATTTGAGGATTGTTTAAAGACAAATGGTACTTAATGGAATAATTTAGTAAATAAACATCTGAAATGCTTCCTACAAATTACACATAGTTACAATCCCAGTTAATCTCACTTTCTTGGTGTTCCGTTTATAAATATATCATACACATCCAGATTGGTCCCTGCACAACCTCCAATGTCCATATTTTTTAAGGAGCTGCCTGTTCAGGATCATAGAAAATAATATACTTTATGTACTTACCATGTCTGCTATACTGTAGCTCCCCTTTCTCCCATGTACAATTGCTGGATAAGTCTTTGATCATTTGCTGGATATTCCAAGCACTTCTTGTTAAGTACTTCTCAGATAAAAGCCCCAAATTAATGCACACTGGCACCTGGATATTCCTGTGGCAAGAACCTGCAGGCTGACAATGACCACATCTGTCCATTGCTGCCCAAATGTAGTTGTACATGGTTTGATTACCTGTCGATCGGAAGAGATGCTTATCCAAGGACGCAAGCCTGGGACAGATGCAGCCACTGTCACCTTATCGTTAACTTGATAGGGCACAGCGGACACAACAATACAGACCCATTCAAGATTGTAGGTGTTGCACATTTAACGACTAAACCCATAGAGTTTAGTCGTTAAATGTGCAACACTTACAATCGTGAAAGTCATTCCAGTATGAATATTTCTATTGTGCCCTGCATGTTAAGAGCATTCATCTCTTGGTGTATCCACTAGATTTGGCATCAACATGCATGGACATCTATGGCCATAACGAAGTGTCAGACGTACAGTACATACCTTCCCATGTATGGCCAGTGTTATACATAATTGATACCATGTATTATTATTATTTTCTTTATATAGTATGCAGTGCTACACAGAACACATACAGTAAAAGCATTCACATCACCCCGGATCCCCAAATGAACTCATAATCAAGTCCCTGGCACACAGCTCAGCATACATGGATCGTCTTTCAGCCATATCCTGCTCAATCGACTGAAATTTGATCCAGCACCACCCGGCTCAACCAAAGTCTTTCTATTAAATTTTGTCCAAGGAGCAGGTTGGAAAAATGTCAGTTTGTCAGGCACCGTTTGAGTGCGATGCCCAGCTCTGCCGGCATCCCGCCCAGCTCACTGACGTCACTGGTTGCTAGGAGCTGGACAGGACGCCAACCAGAGCATCCCAAGTTGCTAAGAGCTGGGAGGGGAGATGTCTATGGCCCTTACACATCTCCCCACCTGGCTCTTACCAACCTTGGATGCTCTGCCTGCAGCCCCCCATTGTGACCCAAAAAGATGCTGCCTAAGGTAACAGTACTTTAGGATGCTATTAACAACATATGGCGAATAGTATCACTCTGTAAAATTGTATGATACCTTAAATAAATAAATAAATGGCAAAGCATTAAATCGCTTGGGGCTTGATGTTTTACTATTATTATTATTATACAGGATTTATATAGCGCCAACAGTTTGTGCAGCGCTTTACTATGCATTGTGGTAACTACATTGGTAGTTTGGAACCTTTCATTATATGTGAGTATGTGTTGATGACAATTAGCAACATGATGTGTTGGTGGTTCTCTGTCATCCAGGGCCTAGGCCTGTGGCCAATGTTGGCTAGGCAAAAATTCAGGCCAGATTATTTCATCTTAAAATATTTTAAAGTAATCTATTTAAAGCTATATACTATGCAACATGCTTTGTAGACTTGAATCGCACAACAAGCAAAAATCTGACTCTAGTATTATTAGTATTCACAAACAGTCCATACTATGAAATATCAGGCTGCGCTTGGGGCTAACAGTGATGAGATTCAAATGAATAATTTCAAAGCACTTTGGGTCTTAGCAGCAACAGATAAATCCTAATCAGAAAATAAAAATGAAACATTTGCATAATTTAATAACATTAATAACATTTACGTTATAACCAACCACATCTAGAATGGATCCATCACTGGGTAACCTTTAAAAGAGAATTTTACTGTGCATTTAACAACACCATTTCCATAAGGGTTATCTTCCTGCCATGTGAACACACACAGAAAAATGGGTTAGGAGCAATAGAATATCACTTGTAAAAGTCAGCATCTTGTGACTTTGTGATTGGCTAACTATAGAATTGTCCAATGACATGTAATGGACTGTGTCTGACCTGCTTTTAAGTCTGAAGGCCACACATGGTCATTCTAAATCTAGACACTGACCTCCCCCTGGATCACGGGTAGGCAAACTCAGGCCTTCTAGCTGTGATAAAAATACAAAATCCCATCATTTATCTGCCTCTGGCTGTCAGATTCTTGCAATGCCCTATGGAATTTGTAGTTGTGCCACAGTTGGGGGGCCAGAGTTTGCCCACCCCGGCTCTAGATACAGAACAATAAGACTGCCTTCTATTAGTTTGCCATTCGAAAGCTCTGTAAAGCAGACTAGTAATATGGCAACCATGGCACATATCAGAATGTCCAGTGTTTCACAGAGCATCTGTAGACCTATGAGAGAGTATGTGTCTAAATATCTGTCAACAAGCCTCATATATTACGCATCACTGAATCAAATAAAGAACCAGTTCATAATCTTCATTGCCCCCTGGGATTAACATGCTTGGCACAAATGTAGACTTGCATGCTCTATATGATGCAGAGATGTTTTCTATTACAAGTCCAGTCCTGCCTTGCAGCATGTAATAGTAGTAGAGGGGTAGTAAAAACGAGGTTGCAAAGAATACTTGGATAGTTTTTGAAACTACGAACTGTTCACCTGTTTTTGGAATTCAAAACATCAGCACATTTTCTAATTGAATGGGAAGGAGAAAGAAGTGAGAGAGACTACCAAAGAATATTGGAGAAATGGAAATAAAAGATTGCGAAAGAAAGAAAGAAAGAAAGCACAGTAAAAGAAATATAAATGGATCTGGGGAAGGACAGGTGATGAGGATAAAGGGAGAGTGTGGAAAAGGAAAGATGGGTAACATTTCTATATACAGAAACAGAAATCACAAAACAAAAATGATTGGGAAATCAGAGACCAACTAAAAAGTTTTAAAAAAATGCAGACCCATCAAGAAAAAGTTATATATATATGCCTTGGGGTTCCTGTTTCATATCCTGGTCAGCACACTATCTGCAAAGAGTTAGCATGTTCTTCCTGTGCTTGCGTGAGTTTCCTCCAGGTATTCCGGTTTCCTCCTGTTGGAAATACAACAGCATATACTGATATAGTTATGTAATTTGTCTTTGGGGCTGTAGATGGCGCTGTAGTGCAATGTTAGACTATATATTCATGCTTATCTATGATACACAGGAAGTTTTTTTCTTTCTATGTTTCCTTCACAATGCTGTATGCATACATGTAATGGTTATAATTCAGCATTCCTCAAGATCTCAGTGCTTCATCTAAACATATAACCAACACCTCACACACAACAAAGACACGCTGGAAGGGTAATTGGCTCCTGTTTAAACTGGCCCTGTGTAAGATGGGGACCTTAGACTGTAAGCTCCTGATTCTGACTCCAATTGTTGAAATAGTGATTTATCCCTTCCTGAGACGTCCATGCCTGACCTGTGTATCGCAGATGCAATCAACGCAGACAATCTTCATCAGATAGCTGATTTCACCAAATACCTTTCATCCACGAAGATCTTTATTGAATGCAGCAGGTTACTAGCAGACAACAGGATGTGGCAAAGGGTAATGCTATGTGCACATGTGGCCAGAAAAAGGCTGATTCGAACACACAGGAAGATAGGAGGTGTCACATTATACAAGGGGAGCACATACAGAAAAAAGGGGTTAATAAAAAAAAGTAAATAAATAAATATGGGTTTTCTAAATTTAAAATGATCCTGTACAACACATTTGTGTATTTAATTGCTTGCCTGGATTGCACCTTTAGTTCTGTAAACCCAGTGCTACAGTGTAGGAAGGGAGGATACAGGTTCTTGCAGCATTAACAACTTGAGTACCAGACGACATTTTAAAATAATACGGGGACAGCGGCTATTTGTCCCAGCACTGCTTTAAAACAGCAACTCAGAACCTCCTGTGTGCCCTGCCAGCATTAGTGCTGTAACTGCCAGATGTCAATGACAGCGGGGTCAAATCAGGAGTGAAATGGCATCACTGGTGATGTCACAGCACTTCATGTCAGTGCAGAGGCTCAGCCAGAGCTGTTAAAGCTCTATCCAGTCTATACCTACAGCAGTAGATCTCTGCTATAGTGAGCTAGTGAGCTATTGCTGGATGATTGCAGCCAGCAAAGATCACTATTAGAACCGATATATATATTCCCAAAATGAATCCCCAAGTTGTAACAATGATGTTGAATGTTCTAGATCAGTGCTCCCCAACCTTTTTATCGCCGCGGACCGGTCAAAGTTGAATAATTTTACCGTGGCCCGCTGATACCCAGGCAGGGAGTTTTCGATGTGTGCACTGCAGGGGGTGGGGCGGGACGTGTGACACACACACGCCTCCTGTGACTCACCTCCCCTCCCCTCCCGCCTCCTGTTACTATGGACGCGGCCGGGAGGGGAGGTGAGTCACAGGACCCGCCCCCTCACTGTGAAGCCCGTCGGCAGTGCGGGGACCCGGTTCGTACCATTTGATCCGCGGACCGGTACCGGTCCGCGGACCGGGGGTTGGGGACCACTGTTCTAGATGACCTTTGCTTTTACTGCTCAAGCATAAAATGTTCACGTAAGTAAACGCAATGTCAAATTTTAATGATAGTAAACTTGTGAAAAAGTTGCCATCATGCTAATTTGTGCCCTCATAAACCCGACTTAATTTTATCTTAGTGTAGCGCCAAAAAGGCAATAAAGCTCTCCTAAATTATAATGCATACATTCACTTTGAGTTATACCATTTCACTAAAGTCTCACTAATGTGATATCATTTTAATCTGCAAACTTTCTTGATTATATTTTGTGTTGAATGTGTATGTAATGAGCAAACTACATAAATATTGCTTTCAGAAAAATTACGAGAAAATATATTTTTTTCTATTTTTTCCCTATTTATTAAACAAAAAACAGCATTAAAGCCCCATCTGTCCCAAAAAAAGGAATTGCGGTATGTTGAAGTAGACTAAAAATGCTAAAACATATAATGTGCGGAACTGAGACATCCCATAAAAAAGGGCCGTGGACTCAAATGGCTAATCAGAATTAAAAACACTTTGGGGTCTATTCACTAAGCTGCAGCCGAGTGAATGACCGACCCAAAGCCAAGTGAGCCGAACGCTGTTCGACTATTTACTTCAGGCTGGTACAGCTGATTTCAGCCGTACGTCGGCTGAAATCAGCCCTACATCGGCTGAGATCAGCCGTACATCAGGTGGCTTTGGGTTGGCCGAACATGCTAAGCATGTTCGGTCGACCCGAAGTGCAGGAGGAGTTCGACTCAGCTGATCCAACATCTGGATCGGCTAAGCCAAACCTCCGGCAGGCTACTCACTGTTGTTCTGTCTATTCTTATAGATGCCGAACAGCAGTGAGTGAATATCCGAATGCCGCTGAGCGGCATTCAGTTCGGCTGTTCTGCACGGTCCCTCTGTGGAACCGAGCAGCACAGAAAAATAGTTAAAAAAGTAGAAAAAAATAAATAGAAAACGATTGTTCAGCACAGCTAGCAGTGACAGCTAGCTCCGCCCAACTGTTTTCTATTGGCCGGCGGTTCTGCTGCCGTCCAAAAAAAGAAAAAAACTCTCCCGGCGCTCCGGGAGTCTCCCGCTCCCGGCTGCCCAGGACACTGTTGGCAATAGCCAATAGCAAACTAGCTATTGTTCCTGCCCTCTACTGCTGTCAATCAGTAGAGGTGGACCTGATGGAGAACAGCAGAGGGCGGGTGCGATGCTAGTTTGCTATTGGCTATTGCAAATTGAAATAGCCAATAGGAATCTAGCAATGTATTCCTATGGCCAAAATGTTTTAATTTTTTTTTCTATTCTGACACGGCTCCGTGAATAGCCCATAAAGCAGGTCCTGGGGCCGAAGCTAGCCGAAGGATCAGCCGAAGCTACGGCTAGATCCTTCGGCTGCTTCGTGAATAGACCCCTTTGTTTTTTTTAGTTTGGTTTTTTTTTGTATTTTATCTTGGGGACAATATTTTCATGGAGAAGATTACCTGTCTGCTAGTGCAATCTTCGTAAACCTGTAAGTTATGTCATTAGCATGAGACCATAAAGAAGACAGTTATCATTACCATTAAAGTGTGTAGCATTCAGATATAGATGGAACCTAAAGCATTTTTTGTTTAGCTTAGATCTTTGTTTTACAAAAAGGGTTGAAGTTCTGAAATGTCTAGGGCTGTCACTATAATGAGGTGCTTGCCTCAGGCCACATCTCATTGGGTCACATGGGGGGGAGCCTAGCAACCAGTGACGCTCTGGCCAGCGTCCTGCCCAGCTCACTGGCGTGCAACGTCAAGTTCCAACTACAGACCCCCCTTGGCCTTAGGCGACAACAATTGTAGGGACCCCTGGAAATGGCACTACGTTTGTCCTATGTATGCATTTAAATGGTGCCCAGAGGAGTTCTTTCAAGCAATAATGCAACTGAATAGTCATCATGGCACTTCTTTGAATATAATACTTTAAAAAAAATTTGATTGTACAAAGTGTAACGACTCATGAAAATCCTCATTACAGGAACAATACGATGTAACAGAAGAGACAACTGAAAATGGAGAGCTGGGCATAATGAGTTTTCACTTTCCATTTTGGAGCTCTACCCTTGCGCACTCTTGGCTTTGTACGCCGGCTCTTCATACTATTTGTGTATTATTTCCATTTTAGTCCTTGACATGTAATAACAATGTGCTATCTAGCGGCCCATTATTGCCTTTTCAGCTGTCACAGTCTCTTTGAGCAGTAAATTATAATAAACATTATAATATGATCACTGCTACACAATTTGACCAAGGACAGTTAGCCTTGGCAGTGTCACCCATTATTGACTTGCACTTTCCAGAGGTTTTTGGGAGTTATTTCAAACTAGAGGATGAGATTAGATCTAAGTTGGCCTTTTATGAGATAGCAAACATCGTCTCCATAAATGCAGCAGTCTGTGGCAATAAATGTTTCATTTATCAGAAATAGTCTAACTGTTCAAATGTTATCCTTGCTGTGCTTGCAAACATTGCTTTACCATATCTGTATTTCCAGTGTGGGGGACCACATGTGGCCCTCTACTGCATAAGTAACCTTCAAGGCCATGATCATAAAAATGCATTTATTAATGTAGATTAATTTGCTCTTAAAGGGACATTACCCCCTCCTCCTGAGTTTTTTAACCCCTTCATGACTGAGCTAGTTTTCAGTTTCTGTTCATAAATGACTGACACACTTTTTACATTTTTGCTGTGATTCTTCCACAGCAGTAATATACTTTCTTACTAAACGTACCCACTCATATTATATATTGTTTTTAGAGGACAGATAGGGCTATATAATTATATCAAACATGTGTACTTAACGCCTCACTTAGTTTGAATAAAATATTAAAAAAATGAGGAAAAAAACTAGAAGAAAACACTTTTTTTCACAAGTTTTGATTATTATTATATATTTTTTTAGAAATGTGTTATAATAATTATAGTATAAAAAATATATTTATATATCATTTTTATTTTCCTAATTTAGTTTTACACTTTATTTGTATTTTTTTTACACTTTGTATTTTTTTTACACTTTAGCTATTATTAGGCTGCTCCAAACTTAGGAACAGCTAATAATAACCTGAGAGACTGATCCTGACAGCATGCCAGATTCAGATCTCACTAAAAGGTGTTTGATCAGCCCAGACCAGTGGTCCCCAACCCACGGGCCCGTGGACCGGTACCGGTCCGTGGATCAAATGGTAACAGGCCGCCCAGGGAACATTAAATTATTTCCATTTTATTTACTGTGGTATATTTCTCTCGGGTTTGTCCGACTTTCCAGGACGAGAGGTTAACCGGGAGCTGAGAGACGTCACCTAAAGCCGCACCAATACCGCGCATGCGCAAAATATTGTGATATCGGGGCGGTTTTAGGTGACGTCTGGAGCTGTGCGGCTGCAAGCGGCAGTGGCGTTGTAGCTTTGGTAAAGAGAAGGTGTGTATCGCTCTTCTCTCTGTTCACCGGTACTTTCTCATGTTTAACAGTGCTTGGTGTACGTGTATATTGTGTTTGCTCAAATTTAACCCACAAATTAGCAAACATGAGTACGAAACAGACGTCGTTAGAAAGTTTCCTTGGGAAAAAGAAAAGGCCCAGTGAAGAGACAGAAGAAGGGCCTTCAACATCAAAGAAACATGTAACTTTTAACAGACAATACCATGAGTCCTACTTGAAATATGGATTTATCGGGACAGGTGATTCCAATCTGAAATATAAACAATCAACGTCCCCCCCCTCAGCGGGCCACGGTAAAATTATCAAAATTATCCGCGGCGATAAAAAGGAGAATAAAAAAAATTGGAATTTATCTTACTTGGTTTAACTCATAAGTATATGTGTAAAAAATAAGTCAAGGCAACTGGACTTGCTGTATTTTTCTTGAAGACGTTTCACTGGTCATCCGACCAGCTTTCTCAATTCACAATTCTCAATTTTTACAGATATACCATGACCTGGATGAATGAGAACCTTCACAGGCATACTTTAACGCATAAGGTTTAACTCATAGACTACAATCTCAATACAAATTAGTCATCTAAACGTGAGATTGTAGTCCATCACGGGAGTAAGCTTGGAGCGGTGGCTACTTTACAACACACACAGAGACCATAGGGAACAAAAGTAGCCGCCCTCCAGAAGGAAGGACAGTGTCCGCATCAATTCAGACATGATTTGAGGATCTACAGCCGAGTGATACACAAATAAGATACATTTTTGTTAATAGTTAAGGTACTTCAATGCATTCTTAACATTTGACTGATGAGTTTAGTGTTCCTTTAGGTTACCATTCAGACGTATCCCATTGCACACCAAACTAATGTATCCTTATGTGTAGCTTAAACGAGTGCTGAAATGGCCAATGGATGGTGTCATAAGACTAAAAGAGATAATGAGGTCACCAGGACACCGTCACATTGTTTTGCCAGATTAAGCACGTGGTTCTAAAACGTTGCATTTGCTTGTGACACCATGTTTATCTAAACGTCAATAAAAGAAGGATTGATGAAGTGGACCTTGGTGTCCTGGTGACCTCATTATCTCCTTACCAGGGAAGGGTATATTTGTACTCAGAGTCTACTTACCTGATACTGGAAAGCACTTGCCCGGCGCCACCTGCTGACGACCCGTACGTCCGTTGTCTACGGAAATGTCTCTGACCTGTGTACTAGACAAAATTGACAACAATACAAACATGCGGACCTGAGATGTGCCATGGTCCGGGTGGACGGTACGCCAATAAGGGGGGGTACCTTGTGCGTGACGTGCTACAAGCGGGGGATCGGGAGGGCGGGTCGCGCCGTCGGATCCCTTCGTTCCCAGGAAGCCTGATACGAGCGGCTTAAGAGGACCGACGGGCCGGCGACTCCTCCCACAAATCAGGCTAACAAGTTAGCCTCCCACATATATTGCTTAACTGCAACTCGTAACTTTTAACCAGGCTAAAGGTCGACTGACCATGCCTGCATAGTTCCAGCACCAACATCAATAAAGAGACAGAGTTAAAATACAGTATCTTCTCTTTTTTCAGGACTGGCCAATAATGTAAATATGAATGTAAAATAACGTTAAAACTGACTGCCAATGAATTGAGGCACTTACCACTGATTCATAACAATATGTGGCACTCACCAGTGACCATCAACACAAGAGGTACATACCAATGACCACCAAAATACTGTAAGGGGCACCTCATCATTGACCACCAACATGAGGGGACAGGAACTTGCCACTGACAACCAATAAAAGGGAGTAAGTACCACCAAATAAGGACCCTAACCATGAATGTGAGAGGGAACTTTATCACTGGCAACCAGGCAAGTGAGCATTTTACCTGACACCCAAATGGGTGAGGAGTTTGGAATAGACAGCTCTCTAATGTACCAGGACCATAAATAATTATATACTAGAGTTAATATATAATATTAGATTATATACTATACTAATTATATGCTAGAGTTATGTTTATCATTCTTTATCTACTGAGATTCTTTATTTTCAGTTCATAACCATTAATAAGTTGTGCTGTGCATTACGCACTACAGACCAAGGCACTTAGTAAGTGGTTGTAACTGCAGTTGTTTAAGTTGGTGACATTCTCTTTAATCATACCTGTTTAAACCATTCCCATTGCCAATATGATGTGGTCACTCCAAATGTTCAC